TCCCGATGGGATTAAGCCCGTTGGGTGTAAATAGGTCTACAAGAGAAAGAGAAATGCAGAAGGCAAGGTCGAAACCTATAAGGCTAGACTGGTAGCTAAGGGATACACGCAAAAGGATAGAATCAATTACGAGGAAATCTTTTCACTTGTAGCAATGTTTAAGTCCATCCGCATTCTCTTATCCATTGCGGCTGCTCTCGACTATGAGATCTGATAAATGGTTGTCAAGACAACGTTCTTAAATGATCATCTTGAGGAAAGTATTTATATGGTACAACCATAGAAGTTTGAGGCTAAGGGTCAAGAGGGTAAAGTTTGGAAGTTGCTCAAATCTATTTATGGATTAAAGCAAGATTCCCGCTCTTGGAATAAAAGATTTGACTAAGTGATCAAGACTTAAAGGACGTTTGTTTCCTATATTCGTCCATGATTCTAAATCATGATTCATGGTTCTCTACAGTGTTTTCTATCACAAAAAATACACGTAAAACGAGAATAGTTCTGAATCATGATTCTGAATACATAAACCAAACGTCCTCTTATGGATTCCAACAGAATATGGATGAACCTTGCGCTTATAAGCATATTCAAGACGAGAAATTGGTTTTTCTACTATTGTATGTTGATGACATTCTACTCATTGTCAACGATGTAGGGGCTTTGTCATTAGTCAAAGTTTCGCTTACCAAACAGTTTGGCATGAAGGACGTATGAGAAGTTAATTATGTTATGGGTATTCGGATCTTCAGAGATCGAAAGAATAAAATGATAGCTCTCTCCCAGACATTATACATTGATAAAATTTTTGAGAAGTTTGCAATGCAGAATTTCAAGAAAGGCGGGCAACCATCTAGATCTAGAATTACTATTTCAAATAGTGATTGTCCTAAGACATTTGAGGAAAAAGAATACATGGCAAAAGTACCTTATGTTTCGTCGGTTGGCAGCCTCATGTATGCAATGCTTTGCACACGACCGGACATTTGCCATGCGGTCGGGATTGTAAGTCGATCTTAGTCGAATCCAAGACCTAACCACTGGGCAACAGTTAAGAATATATTCAAGTACCTTAGGAGGATTAGGAATCATATGCTGGTATATTCCGAGGATGATCTGACACCTTTAGGACATACAGACTCAGATTTTCTATCCTGTTTGGATTCAAGAAAATTGACTTCGAGGTATGTCTTTACTCTGGGAGGTGGTTCCGTCGTTTGGAGGAGTGTCAAGCAAACTTGCACTGCTGACTCAAGGATGGAAGCCGTGCGACTTTACAAGTTTCTGATGGATCTTGAGGTAGTTCTTGGTGTGGAAAAGTCATTGCAAGCTTTGATATCCTAATTTATGATTTATTGAGGTATGTAAACTTTAGTACAGTTTTGAAAAACGTTTGAAAAGTTTTATGGACAAAAATGCCCTTAGAGCTAAAAACGAGTAAAATTTCAAAGCACGTCCTAGATAGAGGCCGGTTTAGGCTTTTCTACTTAAAGAAATATTAGAGATATAGATGAGCATAGAAATGCCACAATTTAGAGTTTTTCAAGATTCCTTACCGATAAAAAGCTATCGCATCCGAAAGATGCGTTGACCAAACTTTGACCAAGGGTAAAGTAGTCTTTTTAGTTTGAATCAGCCTTATGTTCAGTTGAGAGTTTTGATCCTCATGTCAATATGAGGTTATCGGTGAAAAACGACCAAACCCGACCCCAGGGGTAAAAACGTAATTTCTGGAAATTTAGAATGTTGACCTGTACTAAGTAAAAAAAGAGGCTTAATATAGCAATATAGACTTAGAGGATCAAGTTTAAAATCCTTTAGCCACCCGAAAATGCCATTAAAGACAAAATAGTCATTTTGAGAGGTAAAATGGTTAAACGGACACCGATCTCCGACTTTTAGCTTGAGACCATTAGGACAGAATGTTCAGGGTAACAAGTACCTTAAGTTTGCAAGTTTAGAATCACCAAAACTTGCGAAGGAGTAAGGGTAATGATAATTTTCCTAAATGTAAAACCGTCTCTCGAGAATTGGAAAACCCGAAAATAAACTTAAGTTTTCATGAAAGACCAGTGGTGGTAATCATTTGATCCAAACCTGACTAAGGAGTCCAAATGGGCCCAAAAGCCCAAGTGGCAATTAGAATAACCTTTAAGTTTACCTAAAGAAACCTATCAGATGACAAGTTTAAGGCTTAAGCCCAACAAGTCCAAGCCCATTCATAGAAATACTTGAGGTTAGGATATGCCCAAGGAAGTTGATATGGGGTAACATATAGGTGACCTTAGAGTACACCATCAGGGGATGAACTTAGTTAACTTTCTAAGCCATTGGATAATTAATGAAAATTATCCGGATAATTAATAATTAATTAAGTGAGTTAATTTAGAAATCTAATTCGCGATAGGAAATAAATGTTTAATTAACGTAATTGATTTAGATGTTGATTAATTAATTAAGTGAATTAATTAATTAATTAAGAATAAAAGATGAATGATTATTTGGCGAAGGAAATTTAGTTAATGGGAATTTCTTGGATAATTAATTAATTAAATTAATTCATTAAGGATAGGAATATGGATATTTAATTAATTAATTAAGGAGATTAATTAATTAAGGAGATTAATTAATTAATTGACGATAGGAAAATGGTTATGTGCAGGCCAAAGGATAATTAACCTAAATTGGTTAATAGAGGCTAAGAAGAAATTAACTAGGTAAGTGATTTAAACTTACTAGTTAATCTAAGACGTGAAGATATGACTAAGTAAATGATGATTAATAAAAGTTTAACAAGAGAATGGGTGGGTTTGGTATTGATTCTGGGAGAAGAAAAGCACTTATTGAGATAGTAAAAGCTATTAAAGCTGTTTGGTAAAAAACAAAACAATAGATTTTTGAAGAATTTCTAAACAATCTGAAGCTGAAATCAGAAGCAGCCTAAATGCTGATTCTGATTTTAGCTTATGTGGGAATCAGGTAAGGGAGTTTAATGAAACTTTCTTATTCCCAATTGTACCCCCAATGAAATCTCAAATTTACCACCTGTATAATCACATTTTTCAGACTCATCTTCTCTCTTCTCCTCTCCGTCCTCTCTCTTCTCTGGCTCGGTCTGCAGCGTTATCTCTGTCTCCGTTCTCTCTTCTCTCTTGTCGTTCTCCGTTCGCCTATCTGTGCTCGTTTGATTTCTCCTCTATGTGATTGTAGGTTGCCAGTCTCCCTGTTCGCTGGGTCTCCTCCTCCGACTGCGCGCCGTTATCTACCTCGTCATATATATTGCCTCTGTAAGTACTCGAACTCATCTTGATAAAATTGTGTGTGTGTGTGTGTGTATATTTTCTGAATTTAATGTTGTTTCTCTGTTTTTCATGTTTAGATTTTTTTTGGGTAATTGGGATTTTGTCAGATTTCTTGGTAGAGAAAATACTATTAGAAGGGCCCTCTCTTGTTGCTTTTACCCCCAAAGTAGACAAATCAATTTTTTAGGTTGAGATTGCTTTGCCAGTTTTGTCCCCAATTTCTTGCAATCGGAATCCAAAATGTTTTTGACCCCTTCACTTTGCTCTATCACGTCTTAGCTGCTTCGTTCGGTTGCTCAACAGTACAAAAGAAAAGCCATAGCAAGTTATTGTGCTCCATCTTCGTTTTCACCTTTTATTCACAAGTTTACTAGAAGGAACTCCATGGCTATGGTGGGTTTACTCTCTTATGCACCCAAAAGCCCCACGCCCATTTCTCTCACCAACAAAAACTTCACTTTCATTTTGCTTTCAACTGCAAGGAAGCCTCTCAAAAAGTCATTCCAAGGTGATTTCTTCAATCCCTATTTGTTTCAATTGTGATTTTCCATTTGGGTCCCATCAATTTTTAATTTTTTTTTTCTTTTGTTGGAAATTTCACTGGGACTTTTATTTCTTGCTCTTTGAGTTTAGATTTTTCATTACTGTTGACAGTTAGTTCAGTGTCGAATTTGATGGTTTTAGTGAATGTTTATTTAAAATTAAAATACTCAATTGGTTTTTTTTTGTTTTTATTTTTTTGTTGCTGTTGGGTTTTCTTTTGATGATAACTGGTTGAGCTTGGTAGGACGGAAGATACTTGAATTGGAAAATAGTAGAAACAAATACGTTTGTAGTTGATTATTAGTATTATTATTATAACTCTTTTACATGTTTATTATTATTTTTTTGAACAATTCAAGAAGAAGAATATGATATGGGCATTCAGATAACACAAAATTGAATGTGTTGTACTATTTCTTTTATCAGTTTAGATTAGTGGCTGCATTTAGAGAAGCAGTTTCCGGGGTTGGTGCTATTTTGAGTTTTAGATTATTTTGGGCATCGTTTTCTGTTCAATACTTAATTTTGATAGTTTTTATTGGAGATGGTTTATGTTTAGATGATAAAGGTGGTTGTTATCATGTATGGTTGAGCTCGCTAAAGAATCAAAGAAATTGTATGCAAGGAAGGAGGAAGTCACTGTCCAGTCTGGAGGATGCACTCTAGTCGACAAAGCCTCCATGCACACTTTAGAATCCCCTTCACTTTAGAATGGATAAGGATGTAATTTCTTTGTCCTATAATTAATTATCATTTGGCTTAGCCCGTAGGAACTGTTGTTAAATGAGAAGCGTATGATGTGGGCTTTCAGAGAAACACAAAATTGAGTGTCTTGTGTGCTTATTGCAAGTTGAGACATGTATGACTATTTGAGCTTTGAACTTGTGGATCTTGCACCGAATAGGAGGATGAGAGCATAAAGAGTGCAGTAAAAATAAACTGTTCACTGTTTGTCAAAGGTGTTCCCCCCCTCCCCCTGTTTTTTTGTAGATTAATTGGCACTAAATACAATTACCTTGTTCACTAACTTTACTTTCTGTTCTATGCGGATGTCTTTCATGCTTAAAACTTGATTGAAGTTGATGAATCTTTTACTTATTGCCCTTTGGATATTTTGCCATTTCCTTATTTTTAATAACAATATGTTATTGTTTGCAGAACCCTCTTGGCAATTTGCTCCTTTTGCCTCTACCTTCCTTAGCCGATATAAGTTCTGCAAAAGAGGCATTCAGACGCAGAAAGAGCCAATCAGCCCTGCCGGTGAAGATTTGCAGGAGGACTCTGTAAGCATGAGACCGACTTCGGATTCCTTTAAAGTTTCAACATTACAAAACAAAGCCTTACGAGCAAGCTCATGAGCCAAAACATTATCCGACCTGGGAATCCATTTGAAAACTATCCTAGAAGGATCCATGATTGCCGCAATAGTATGAAGGAAGGAGGAAGTCACTGTCCAGTCTGGAGGATGCACTCTAGTCAACAAAGCCTCCATGCACACTTTAGAATCCCCTTCACTTTAGAATGGATAAGGATGTAATTTCTTTGTCCTATAATTAATTATCATTTGGCTTAGCCCGTTTCTTAGCATGAAATTTCTCAATAAATTTATCATATTTTCTTACATATTTTTGAGAAGAACCCTACCAAAATTGATAATTATGGTATTTGATTGCGTTATCAAGATTGACAATTTATCATTATGCTTCTTTTAGTTGTAATTATATTGTGAATGAAGAAATGAAAAAAAAAAAAAATTAATTATCATAAATTTATTATTA